TTTCCAAATTACTTGTCATCTGACATCTAAAAATCACTATGGTATAAATTTAGTAAGAGGTACAATGATTGGCTTAAAGTTCTGACACTGATTAGTCAAGTTGGTATAGCTTTTTGATAAGAAGCACAATGATTTCTTAAAAGTTCTGACACTGATAGTATTATCTGGTGTGTTGCACTTATAGATAATCAGCATTGCCCCAGTCGTTATCTCAGGTCAAAAAGTCATTATTGTATTATTAATACGGAATAGAAGCACAATGATTGGTTAAAAGTTCTTTTACTGATAGTATTATCTGGTGTGTTGCACGTATAGATAATCAGCATTGCCTGTATTGTTATCTCAGATCGGAAAGTCACTTTTGTATTAATACGGTGTGTTTATCTGGTGTATTGCACTTTATAATTACCAATTGAACTTTACAATAAAAGATGAACTTTACTATTAATACACTGTCCATAAATGACGTGTAATTATGATCAGGAAAAGCGCAAGCCAGGTGATAATAGCGATAATAATACCTGATGAACAATAAACATCAAAGAGATGTGATGAGGATGGTGGTGACAAATAAATAACAAGATGTTGTACACTTTCTTTTTTAATGTTTGTAAGTTACTCACTCATGGTGCAATAATTTGTTTTGTACTTGTACTGTTAAAATATAAACATTCTGAGATGTCCGACATTGATTGGCCTTTATTCGACTTAGTTCTTGATTCAAGTTATACACATTTGCTAACCATACTGTAGACCTAGGTTTGCCCACACTATCAAGTTTAACCATGCATAAATAACAAAATAATTATAACTTTTTGGTACACTGTGAGTAAAATTATGGTTTTTGAGGTAAAACCACTGGTCGATTGTCTCAATTTTGTTGATGCTTGTTTTATAGTTTTATATGACAAATATTTGTGATTTGCCCATATACATCATAATGCCCAAAAATGCATGTCACAGATTTTGATCTAAAAAAAAATTTAGTGTAGCCAAAGCTTTAAAAAGAGTACTACTGTAACAATGTGAAAATATGGCATAATGGTTAGGTTATGACTTCATCCAAAAGTTGTCAGTTCGAGTCTGAGGTTGGCTATATAACTTGCATCTTCTTTAAGGCACCACACTTTGTTTTGTTTCTTGTTCACCCAAGTGGGTACATGATAGATAAATAGTTTGTAATGAAATTGGTCTGTGCTTATTACATGCACTGCTAAGGAATACTCCCTAGAGAAATAATGAGGTTGCTCGTTGTGCATCATTGATCCAATGAACAGGGACAAAAGCACTTTGAGTATGCGTCTCTGAAATGGATGTGTGCGTTATGTACCGTAAATCCTTAAAACATTGCGCTTGTATTCAGTGTTTTAATTATACTACTAACCAATGTTAGTGGTAGGAATATATATTCACTGTAAAATATTTTTTGTATTGAAATTGAACTTCTATTAATCAATGAAACTTAAATATTTTTTTCATAATAATGTTTACAATAATAATTATTATGATATCATTTTTTTTTTTTTTTTTTTTTGCATCATTGCTTTATTTATTTTGTGTTTGTTTAGGATAGATTTACTATATCGATGAGAATGTTATCTGTGGAAATTCAGTTAACTGAATACCACGTTTGAAATACTAAACTAAATTAATGAGATAAATCAGTCTAAGAGAAGTAATGTAAAGCATGTCAGAACCTTTCAAAAAGATACCAGACTGTTTAAATGCACGTGGCACCATCCTCGTTTAAGTGTAGAAGGTAACTGTTATCACAGTATCATGAAAGCTTTGGTAGTCTAGCATAGACATACATATAAAATATTTAAACATCCTGAGACTGAATCATATCAAATATGTTAAAATATAAAAATCCTGAGATTTCCATTCCAGTGATTGGTTGATAGTTTTTATCAAACCTTTTAAACAAATACCAGACAATTTATATGCATTGGGCACCATCATCGCTTAAGTGTATAAATCATAGTAGTTATCACAGAATCATGATAGCTTAACCAGTCTACTGCTTTAGAAGTACATAAAATTAAACATCCCGAGACTTATTCCTGAGATCTTGATGTCATTAATTGGCTGTGATGCCATTCATAAGCTGATTTTCTTAAATATTTAACTTAATGTAGCATTTCTATATTAAAATGGTAATTTGATTTGAGTAGTCAGCAGGTTTTGAGAAATCTCACTGATCGGCAGTGATTCGTTCCAAACATGATATCCCACATAAACTGCTATTGGAAGTTAATGTAGGACATACATAAGTAGGTCCTACATCAACTGCCCTATAGTAATAATTTATTTTGTTTAGTGTTGCAATTACTTCATTTTAGTGGCACCTTGAGTAAGATTAAATCTGAACCATACTCGTTGACATAAATTTATTTAATTATTTGATTGAATATTTATTTTTACGAATGAAACCAGCTCAGACATATTTAAGGACCCATTGACTAGTAGGACACTGTAAAGGTTCCTTATCATGTTGACCCAGTTAAAGATGACAGCGATGTTAAGTCCTTGCTTGGTAACAACATTTTAAACAGCGCATATTTTGGAATCTTGAAATAGCGAAGCTTTAGATATTGAAATGTTTTTAATGGTCACATTAGCAAGTTACACGACACTGTGTCTGGTGCCATTAATAGTAGTATATCATTAATTTTCCTTCTGTTTTGAAGATTTAAGGAAAAAAGAGAAATGTTTTTGCAATTGATCGTTCTATGTGTTTTCATTGTGTTTTTTTATTGGATTTTGAAAAAAGCTACAATATTTATAAAGGAAGAGCTTGTAAGTACAGTATTTTAAGAAAATAAAACTAAAAATATAGTATGCTTTAATTTTATCTCAGATGTTTTTTGATCTGCATCTCAAAAAGCTTTATTAGTATTACTACATAAATCTTTCTGTATCAAGGGGAAGTCCCACTTATTCAAAGTAAGTCCCACTTATTCAAAGTACAGGGTTTTTTAGTGGTAACTTGTGTACATATGTTTTAAATTCAGCATTGTAAACCTTTTTCTTTTGATATAATATTATTCTTTAAATAATATTTTGAATAGTATTTATGTAAATTCTAACAAGAAAATAAGTTCTTCAGCATCTAGGAGATGCAAAAAATTACATTCCTTTACAATTTTCATATTCTTGAAGTACCTAACAGTCTAAATCAGCAAAAACTGTATTATTTCAATTGGGATCTCATTAAAGTTAATAGCCTGTATATATAGTTCTTTCTGAATGCGAAAATTCTTAAGTTATTTTAGTTATTGTAATAGCATTTATGTAGAAGAGTAGATGAAGTAATAAGTTAATTAAGTTAAAAAGAGATAATGAAAGAATTATAAACATCTTATTTTTAAAAAGAATCAAATCTGACTTGAAATTCCATGTCCAAATTAATTACTTTCGTTAAAGCAGTCCGGAACATAAATTATTTGTGGGTCAATTACTGTGAAAATAGAAACTTAATTTAGATTGTAAATATTTTCGTTCGTGTGAAATTAGGTATATGGAGGGATGCAAGGCATTCTTACACATATCTACATGTATGATCATCTTATGACCTTTGCCCTTATCCCACATATTGTGTGTATTAGTTAATCTTAAAGGGTGATTCTATAATAAATTATATTATCAACCTTATTTTGGTAGTAAAATATGTTATATTTGAATGTACCCTACTTCTTCTGCACTCTTTTGCAAATCGGAACAAATACGTTTCCTAAAAAACTCATTACTTTTAGGTTAATTGTTAGTTTCTCATCTTTTCTAGGCTTTAGAGTCAATAGATTAGTTTTCAGAAAATAATATTTTGATAGCAATAGTATGAATCATTTTGGTAATTCAAATAATAATAAGGAAAATAACAAAGTAAAAAAATGCTACATAGTATAAGATTCTCTACATTAACATACACTTTCAACATTGTACAAGAACATGACAAAGTCTCTTTGATAGGTTCAATTCCCTTCAGCATTTTCATTCAACGTTGTCAGTTCATTCTGTATGCAGAATCTCACATAAAAGTTAGAGTATTGCATCATTGAAGAAAACTGTTGACAAAAGCCTCTGGACAGTATTGTCCAGCTTGCGTTAACAACATAACAGACACATACAAAATTATTATTCTTCATTTGAAGATGTTCTTCTGACCTTTAACCTACTTGAGCAAAATCAGAGACAGTTTTATTTTTGGTGTATCAACAAATAAAAATTACAAAGCATTTTTATAATACTGTTGACAATGATGATTAATATGTTGATGATAATGAGGGTAGTGGGTGTGTGAGGGGGTGGGTAGATGGATGAATAACAAAACAATAAAAGAATATAGATATAAATTATATATATATATAAATTTCTTTGATTTTTTTTAATTCTTTAAAAAAAACAACTTAATATGTGCTTTTAATCTTTCTTGTTTATTTATATATATTTATTAAATATTTGATTACTATCATCATCAGAAACAGATAGTAAATGGTATAATCACTCATGAAGATATGCTATAATAATTGGGAAGTGTGTTGTTTATTTTTGAATTTTTGTACTTCTCCACCTTCAACAGTAACTATCTCATAATTAATGTAAAATAAACTTCATTATGTGATCATTAAAACAATGGATCTATAAAATTGAATAATAAGGGGTCCTAAGTTGGAAGAAGCCACTTGTTTGAGATCTGGTTTTGCTGTGCATGGTGATCAACCCATCACCAGCTGACTTCTGGGAGACAATTTATAAAACAATAGTAAAAGCATGTAAATGTAAAAAATTTCTATGAGATAGGTTTATTGCCAGGAGATTCTTGCTTTCTTGTGGGAGGTGTGGGAGGCATGGGAGGCAGTCTCGATTTCCGAGACACTCCCCCAACTTGCGAAAGTCTCCTGACTATATAAGGCTTCAAGAGTGTTTTCAGGATTTGAAACGAGGTCATGTTCAAATTTGTTATTAATTTTTTTGCCAATGATTTTTTTTTTTGCTCACAGGAGGCTGAAGTTGCACAGCAGAGATTAGAATGTGACAATTTACAGAAGGAGATTGAGAATGAACACAAACGTTCAAGTGTTCTTGTGAGTAAATTGTTTATTTTGTTGTTTATTTTTGTTTTGTTGTTGTTGTCATTGCTATGTAACCATATAGAAATCTTTTTACGTGTATGATCATGATCTTCATCATTGTCATCATCATGATCATCATCATTATCATCATCATCATCCTTTTGGATCTGCAATTGAAATTATATGTATAATGATAACTAGCAAAAAAAAATTATGCAAAGCATCAGTAATATTTCTTATACCCTCTATATATTTTTCTGCATATTCAAAAATTGATAACTTCTTTGACAGATATTATTTATACTTGGTGGTGATTACCTATAGTTCATTTTAATTATTCATTAGCATTGAAATGATCTCAAAATACTTGATATGAGAATTTACATATCGCACTTAATAAATTTTTGACGTGTAATCTTCATTGGAACTCGAGCATCAAGCTATCAATTAATAAAATAATTTCTTTAATAATTTAAGAATCTGGTTTTTCATAGAAATTTAAAAGATATTTAGACTAAAAATATCTGCAAGTATCCTAAACACTCTATTGATACAAGTTGCGCAGTGGTAAATCTTTGAGTTTCTAATTAAAAAGTCTTGGTTCGAGTCAGAAGTTGCCCACTTTTTTGTATCATGTTCTCTCAATCCAAGAGGTAAACAGATGTGTGGCTGGATAGCTGGTCTGTGAATGGATTCAACACCGTGGAATACTTCCTGAGGGATTGCAGATGGTATTGAGTATGATTGCCTATAGCTCAGATGACGTGGGATAGCACCGCAGGCTCGAAATTAGCGCTATTCAAATATAGAATTGGATTGGAATAAATATAAATGTTATTATGCGAAAGATAAATTGGATTCATATTTAAATGAATATTTATATAGATTCACATGAAAGAGTTGCTATTGATTAATGTGCAATTTCATATTTCCACTAGAGATAATATCTTCGCTAATAGATAATTAATTGAACTAGAAAATTAATGAATGCACACTCTGGCAAGGTGAAGATTGGATTTTCAATGAGCTGATCAGCATTTTTTTCCATTTTGCTAATTGCTAATAAAGCAAAATATATAAATCATGATAGTTGACCGGATCAAAGTAGACAGCTAGGTCGAGGTATTAAGTCAAGTGAAGTAAAGATCACACATATAAACACACACGCATAAACACATATCCTTGTGGAACCTGGCCGTGTGTGCGATCACAACGTGTATACTAACGAGCCATCGAGTGATGTGAGCAAGCAAGCAAGGCATTCAACTCAAAAACAGCCGTGTGGATTATTACTAAACAAAAATCTTGGCCTGGTTCACCATAAACGTTAAAAGCCACCCACCTTCTGTTATAGTTGTGCAATCATCAGGCCTAGCTTCTTGTTGTTAATCTTCTTTGTTTTATGCTGGATCCATTAGCCTTTGTAGCCTATGTGTACATCATTTGTATTGGAATAGCTTGCTGTTTATTTATTTCTCTGTATCCCTCATGTCATCACTTTCAAGGAATTAATCTTCAAGTGTAGAGTTGACATTGTGTATAATTTTTTGACATGTGGATTTGAATTTATCCAACTAAACATTCTCTATGCTGTGACAAGCTGTGTGATAGCGTATATTTGTTTACCTTGTATTGCTATTAGTAAGTATAATATAGTTATAACACGTGCAGTAGAAAGATGGAGATATGTTGTGAATATTAAATTTGATTAAGCATGATATTCCATATTGACATGATGTTTGCTTTTACATTGGATAGCTATAAATTTTATTATTTATTTGAACAAGATTTAAATGAGAATGGATTATCCAGTAACTGCTGATCATCATGAACCTCAGCACAAATTTAATACAAGATGTGTTAATAATAATCTAATAAATGTATTCTATGTATTTTAATTTATTTTTGTTCTCTATATTAAGTGCCCTCTTACATTAAAAAATAAGACCTAAATATTATAATACATTACCTTAATTATTTATCTTGCTATTAATATGTATTCTATATGTTTAAGCATATCTTAAATATGGAACTGAATTGAAAATAGTGATATATCTTAACTTAATTTTTGTAAAATAGTTTGAAATTTATAATAAATAATAAATAGGAATAAGAAATATAATAAGAAAAATAATAAGAAATTAATTTATTTAAATTTTATTCTGCCCCACTCACAAAAAGGTTCATCCTAAAATATTAATAAAAGTATAATACAGTATAAATAACTACAATAATAATCACATATATATATAGAAAAAGAAGCCAGTACATTCAAAATTTGCATGTAACCATCAAATTTCCACAATCTTAAATTCTTTTACCAAGCATTTGGATAACTATTCACCCCAGAATTGAAGGTAGAATAGAACCTGTTTGGCTTCCAGCAATATTTTCAGGCATGTTATTGATCACTTATGAAATTCATAAATTTTAGGTACTTAAAATTCTAAACAATTATATATATATATATATATTTGGTGATGTACCGTCAACTGAAGCACACATTCTCCAGATGCTGAACAGGCGATGACGAGCACCAGCATAGAATAGTATAGAATATTTAGTAGTTTTCTTTTTTTAGCAAAAAGCAGTAGTTGATTACATTGTTGTATCAGTCTTAATATTGATAGACTTATTAAATAATGGAAAGATTATTAAAGACAAAAAAGAACGAATAGAAAACAGGAATCTCGCACTGATGAATAATGTGTTTACGTAAGAGAATTTCGCACCATACTCTACAATAACCAAAATATCACTGTTTCAAAAAAATGCGTTTGCACCTGGACAAACAATTAATAGATTCACCGTTAATCTTAAGGGGGTTCTTCTGTCTGCTTCTTCTTTGACATGATAGAATGACTAACAGAAAGGGGTGATTGTAGGCCAGACGAGGCCAGTGTTTTGAATAGAGGTTGATTAAACTCTCCTGTTATTTTCAGTCGTGATTAGGATTGATTTAAACTTTATATTGACTGCTGGATCTAATAACTCAACTCTTTGTGTCGCATATGTTTTCAACCGTCTTATCAATATTTTAAAATTATCTTCAACGCAGATGACAAGCATTTCTGGTGATTATCAAGCACATATACTTTTGTTAAACAATCTTCCTTTATTATTATTAGTTTATTATTGTTATTATTTTCATTATTATTTTCATTTATATTGTATTGTGCATGTTGAATTTTTCAGATCTAACAACTTTTGCTATTACAATTGTAGCATCAACCTTATTGTTGTTAGTTTTATTAGTACTTTCATATCATTTGTATTATGTAGTGTGTATTGTCAATGTTGTTTTGTTGTTATTATGTATACATATAAAACACAGATTTGTCGAATCAATCAATAGTTATAAATATCATTATCGACATGCTTTTTCAGGTTAAGATATCAATAAAGATTTAGGTCATTATAAAAATTACATAAGTACTAAATTTGAAATGCAGTTTCAAAGAAGCCGCAACAATAGTGTGGCAGTTAATTACTTGATACAACTCACAAAGCAACCACTATATGAAGCACTAGAGCAAATATTTTTGTCAAGAATGCTGTAGGTAAACCAAAGTCTATGTTTAGAAGGCATGAACATTATAAGCGGCATGTAGTACAGTAACACCACTTCTTACTTTTCCAGACATCAGAGCTGCAGGATGCACTTGTTGAAAACACAAACTTAACGCGGCAAAACACTCAACTACAAGAGCGTTTAACGAAATTGGAAACGGTAAGCAAACTTTTTTTTATACCAGGTGATTGATATTAAGGATCATTAGTCTTAACGCTCTGAGAACTATCTACGTGCTGTAACGTAAGCGTTTAACAGTCCGATTCTGATCAAAATTGGAAATGGTAAGCAAACTTTTTATAACTAGGTGATTGATGTTTAAAAATCGTTAGTCTTAATGCTCAGATCCTGAGAGCTGTCTATGTGCTATATCGCAAGCAGTCTGATTCTGTTGACAACGATTCCTATACAGAATGCTTCTTGTACAAGGGACTTCGGATGTAGGCCTCCTGTAGTGTAAGCATCTGGTGCTGGGAGCCCCTCGTTTCCTACTCCTCAACAATTATTCCTTGTAATTAATTTACAGTCTATTTTGGATCAAATGATCTTAAATAGAATAGGAAATCAGCATTTTGCCAATAATTGTACATTCCATGCAGAGCATATGTTCATGTTATATCTCAAAGAAGACAGTGGATTGGTATCCATAATCCCATCACAAGTATCTAGCCTAGGTAATTACCTGAATTATCCCCTCCTAACTGCATTACGTTGATACTTATTTTCCCCTGGCCTGTAACATGACCCACATTCACTATACAAATTTGATTAAATTTACCAGTGTGTATGGCATTCTTTTCATTAAATACGATTGTGTTACTACATTAGCCATCTTGATTCACTTAATGGTCGTGGATTTAGATGAGTCCGTTCCCAAAGATGACATCAATTTGTGAGATGCACAAAAACTGAAATCAAAGAAGAACATTATGTGTTGAGTAATGTTGAATGATAAAATCCTGCAAAGGAAACAATTTCTAACCTCTTATGCTTTATGGGCCATGGTTGTAAGAAATATTGTTTACATTTTTTTTGGCATGATTGAAACCAGGAAATTGGGATTGAAAGGTAAACATAACCCACATTCTGGAATGCCTCTCCAGTTTCAGTGATCAGTCATCCATTAAGTACTATATGCTGTAAAAATCTGTCTCATCAAAAGTGAGCCCTCAATGGCAATAACAAAAGCAATATTTACAAGATTTGATAAAAATTCAGTTTTGTTCATTGTCATACTTTTATAACCTTACAATTTTGCTTTTTTGTTAATTTCCCATTTCGATCTTTGTCATGGTCCTATAGTGTTCTCTGGGCCATTACCAGAAATCGGATAAACTATCAATTATTCCCATATATTAAAAACAGTATCGTACTTTTAAGTTCAAGTATATGTAGATAAAATTTCAAGTTTAAATAGTACAACTGAAAATTTGTCTCTTCCATAATGAGCCCTCAATAACAATAACAAAAATAACATTTGATCAAAACTCAGTTTTGTTCATGATCCTAAATTTAAAACCTCACAATTTTACTTTTTTCCTATTTACATCTGCATAAATATAATGGTCCTTTATTGTTCTCTTGCTGATAATCAGAAAGTCAGTACACATGTAAAATCCCATATTTGTTTAATCCATATGTGTGGTACAATTAAAGTATAAATAGGTTTAAAAATGTATGTAAATTTTTAAGTTTAAATAGTTTCATTTAAAGTCTAGTCTACAATTAAACTAAATTGTTGTATATACATTTGTTAATCAATTAAATAGGAGCCACAAAAAGAAGAAAAAATCCAGACATTTTTTTTTGCCTGTTTGTAGCCTAGGAATTAGTGATTTGAGGACAAGCATCTTTCCAGCAAACGAAAGCTAAAATACTTCGACAAATATTATAAATATATAAACTCTACATAAATGTAATACTAAAGAAAGCTACATCCCTTGATAAATGTCCATTGATTATAAGATATAAATATCTGATGTACATACTTACTATATCATCTAGATTTGATGATGTGTACATAGATATGAGTGGTTATCATTAGATAATATGTGCATCACTCGTGCTTGCTTCCTGTGTTGATTAAGGAAACCTTGGTGAACGTTTATCCACATGTATATACTTGTAAGCTATAAATGGCTCGCAGACGACCCCGTGCTAATGGAACATATGTTTAATGTCCACTACGAAAAAGCCATCACGGTGTCGCCCATCAGTCAGTTTCTGTTTTCCTCCTATTATATTAAAAATTGTAGTGAGCATCTCTCTGTGGGAATGAGTGGGAATAAATTATCTCCTGTAATTTATTTTTTGGTGTCTGTAATGTTTATGCAGAGTACCTAGTTTTGGGATATTTACTTATGTAATGCTTTGCTAAACAAGTTATAATTCTCGACTTAAAAAACATCTATAAAAATAATGTGATTAAAGTGATATTAAGGTATATTACCAACATTAAGGTAAAAATATAAAATTAAATATTTAGTAAATTATACTAATTAATAATTACTTAAGTTATGATTAATATCGATCAAAACTTAATGTACACACATTCAAGGTCTGCTATAAATACCTGTAAGCTATAATAAATTCAAATTCCTTTTTTTTTTGGTTGTGTATGATGTCATAGGTTTGTGATTTATTTTGAGCTAGCAGTACCTGTCTGTTATCCTGATCCCACAAAGAGAACAAAATAGAAGCAGCTATCGGGTGTTGAGTTCATGTTTTATTATCTCTCTAAGTGTTACGTGAGATATTCACGCGTGGCATTTGATCCATACATTTTGCGTGAATATATAAAAATTGCATGATTTACGTCAGAGGCTATTCTTGATAATTATCTACTACAAACTAAATATAAATGACAGAAACTTCTTAATTATTGTAGCAATTAAAGAGATAGTCGATTAAGTATTGTGTCACTTATGCACGTTACAACATCGATACATGCATATTCATAAATTTCAATCACTTGAAATTGATTACAATTTCTATATGTAAATTATATGTAAATTACTTTCAGGCATGCTTCAGACACAAAACCTTGATACAAAAATTATTGCAATAAAATATAGGTGGAAAATTTCCTGTCATCCCAGGCCCTTCAACACCTAGTCTGATATTAATTACTAGATTCAGCAATTTACTTTTCTTAAATAATCATACATTTTCTGACTGCAAGTTCGCTCATCTGTATAAAGTTGAATTATAAACATTTGGTGATTGATTGTCAAACATCGTAGCAGAGAAAAATAATTGAAATTGATTACCTGCATATAGGCAGGTGTGTTGCAAGGTATTTGCAAATTGCAGTCTCGAATTATGTAAAATTGACTATAAGTAATATATTTTAAAGACTCTCAAATAAAAGCTTATTTTTGAATTGTTATTTACACATCCCATTGCAACTACCAGGTCCATTCACCAATTGTTGAATAGAATAATGTGATACTCTAAAATTCTCTTGTACAAAGTGGAGTTTTTTTAACTTTTAACCTCTGGCACTTATATGCTTTGAACCCAGGGCCCCTGACATACATATATATATATTCACATGTTTACCCAAACTATAGTGTACTATCCCATATTCCACATACCTACAAATTAACTAATTTTTGTAAATACTACCATAGCCTTATCCATAAAATGATATATCTTCACAAGTGAACTTCTCTATATAATTATTACTCATGCACAAACAAAATCTCACATACAGGCATCTAGAAGCACCCACAGATGTACTTTCCTCACATCCACAAAACTACCTGATTACACACAAAAACATATTCCACCCATGCCCACAAACAGTACTCAAATAAACACCCCTGTACTCGTCCAAATTTATATCTTGATAATGTAGATATTTAATGAAATGTAAGCTTACTCAAAATGTTATTCTCAAGAAACTGCATATGAATATTCTGAAATGCTTCGCCATACATCAAACGTACTATAAATGCCTTTTTCCAATAAAAATGTATTGAAACTGAACACAAAATTTACACTGCTAAGCAACGCTGAGATAGAGAATTATGTAACGATACACATACAAAGAGTTTCAGTGTATGTAAAGATATACTTACTATAATATTAGGTTTCCATTTATAAGTATAGTTCAAAGAAAATCTTATTAAAATAAGAAGGAAATTAAAATGTTATGTTTAAGTTCGTCACTGCAAGGTATAAGTGAAAATTATTTTTTACTCAGAATGTTTCCAGTGGGGGGAGGGGGTGAACGCGCAAGCTTCTTTTTATGGCTACCTAGCCTCACACATTATATGCCATAAAAACATTAATAAAGTACATTATTCTTTTCCATGGATGGCTAGGAATTGCTATTTTTTTTAAAATAAATATAAATAAATGAATATGTTGTGAAATACAATATAATATACACAAATCCTATTGTTATGGTTTACGTATGCCAAAGAAAAGTTACTTTTATTATAGTGTTTGTTTTAGAAATTCAGCAATAAACAGGTGTGGAGAGATCATAACATAGGAAATTATTTTTCCAAAATGCATTATGAAAAATATTTTCTCATTTCAATCAAATGATGTTTTAAAGAATTATAGCCTAAAACTGAAATTATTAAATTCTTTAATAGAAATTGAAAAGTATTGAAACTTATTTTCTAAATCAAGACTATATTGACGACCTCTGGCAATTTTGACAAATAATATATGATGAATCTAAAATGACTTTGCAGCTATTTCTATTAAAGTGATGATAGTTGCATGAATGAATATTAGCATCCTTAAAGGGACAGTAATCAATCCATCAATGAATTCAACACAATTACTGCTTTAGCATAATAATTGGCATTTTTAAAGGGACAGTAATTACTCCATTAATAAATTCAACTATACTACTGTACAGCTTATTTATATCCTTAAGGTAGTAATCAAATCCATCCATGAATTCAATACTAACTACTAGACTATTTTACATACTTTAAGGGACAGTGATCAGTCCATCTATGAATTCAACATGCATATTAAACTTAATTGTACCCTTAAAGGGACAGTAACCACTCCTTTGAATTTTACGTAGAAATACTAATTCTATCACATTTGCATCATTAAATAGATAGTAATACAGTAGGTGTTTAATCCTATGACCAGGGTAATGATAATGTGAAGTGCACAGAGGTCTTTTCATAATGCATTGTATAAATCTACCATTATTAATATTATTTAATAATGAAAACCCATAGATGAATTTAATATCAATAATATTTTAACTAATTTGCATTCTTAAAGGGACAGCAATCAAAACATTCATTGGAGAATACAATAAATATTGTTATATTACTAACTGTTATGTATGTAATTATAATAATAATTAGAATACTTTTTTTTGTGATTTTTTATATATTAGACATGCATATTATAATAATCTAAAATAATGACATTAAATTGTACCATGGGTAATCAATATATTTATCATGGTAGTGGCTTATTTTGGCCTTAATGAGAGTAGAATATTTGTTTCTTATAATTTCGGTCAAATAAAACAATCTGAGTTCTCTGAATTATGAATATTACATTTACTAATTTGCATATTTAAAAGGCTCAATCAAACCTAACTTGAATTAAGTATGGATGCAATATATCTTATTTTCGTCCTTCAAGGGACAGTAATCAAATCCATTCATGGATTGAACTACTGATTTTCATCTTTAAAGTGACAGTTAATCAAATTCATTCAATGTATTCGTCACAACTACTAATGTTATCTTTAGAGGAACGGCAGTTAAACCCATCTGTTCAACGCTAATACTGTTTGTATTCTTAAAAGGAAAGTAATCAAAATCGTCCATAAATTGAACATAATACTAATCGCTTATTTGCATCCTTAAAAAAAAAACAGTAATCAAAGCCATCCATTAATTTAACATGATACTAATACTAATCAATAAAGAATTAATGCTTTGGTTTTACATTTCTGTATGACGAAATATCAAGGTTTCTTTACGCCGTATTATATTTCGAATAGTTCCCTTTTATGATATACCGTTTAAGGTGAGCTAAAAATCTTAATTGAGTAAGAAATAGAAAAAGGACGATTAACTTAGAATTGCTCATTTTAAAAAAATATATAAGTTGTCAACTTTCAGTTAGTTAAAGATTGAAAACGCCAGTTTTCAATAATTTGTACCTTAATTTTTAAATTTTCTGGCTGAAATTTAAAGGAATGGGCATGGTATTATTCTCATTGTCTGTTAACTCACAATAAAGCAGTAGAAACTAATAATTATTAAAATGTGACCGGCTCTGGCAAAACCAGCCGTTTGTAGGAAAAATCCAAAATTGAGTTTTTGTTTTTAGATTCTGCAATAATTCTACTTTAAGACGGTGTTTTTTTTATGGAATTGGTTGATTATTAGCAAAGTTATGAATATTTAATTCATTGGATATGAGCCATAAGTTTTGAGAAAACAGCTACGGAAGATTCCAAAATCAATAGTTTATTATCAAGATTTGTATTTTAGAAATAATTTTAGTATGCTTTTCAGTGAGATTTAGTGATTGATATTTTGCAGAAATGTTCTTTTATACAATGCAAAAACATGAAAATATTTTGGGTGCTGGTAGGAAATTAGAAATTGCGACAAACAGTGGGTTTTGCCAGAGCCAGTCATAAATATACAAAGTAAAGTTGTTTTTTTTTAATTTTTAAGTATATATTATACTTATGGTATAAAGTATAATAGTTATTAGCTTTATACATTTCTTTAAATTAGACCAAAATAATAGCAAAGATATACTCGCTTGTATTACATCAGCAAGACTACTGTAGATGAAATTCTTTGATCATTTAATTTCTTTTTTTAGCATAAATCCTTAAGATTGGCTGGTAATCAATTTAAGGTGTGTTTTGTAAGAAAAAAGCTTTATTCAATCAGTTTAAATAAAGCATAATGAGGTGTTTAAACATTTCCGCACAGATGATATATCTTTTACTCACAGAAGCCTGCCAAGAAGACAAAGAGTAAGTAAGACATTCAAGAAACATCCATTATCCTCTCGGTAAAGTGACTTCGGCGTCATTTTTTTTACATGCTTGCCTTCAAAATGTCACATTTGAAGAATGCAATTTAATTTGATACATTTAAAAAACACAAGCTTCAACGAATTGTATGTGACTCATTCCCTGTAGTATAAGAACTAGAATTCATTTAATTTGCAATTGGAATAATAGGTGAAAAGTACTCTTGCGATTACTTTTTTTTAACTTCGATAGCAAGTACATTCTCCAATTACATAATAGAATGTTGTTCTATAATTTAATTCGGTTTATGAGGCTTATAATAAGGTTTTTAGTTATGTAAAAATGATTATGGTCTTTAAATGATTTGAACCCATTAACCTAAGATTAGAGGGCAAGCAACCTTACTAGCTACCATGTTTCCACCTTATTCTAATCTATATTTAATGAGTATTTAGTTTCTTGCTTTAGTATATTTTTTGATGTCTTTTGTCTATTAAGTTGTTAAAAACAGAATTTGTCATTTCTCCCCTTTTAAATTGTTTTCATAGTAGAAGAGATGGTGATAATATACGGTAAGCCAACTTATGGTTTGAACTGTGCATTTGCGTATCCAGTGGTATCCAAGGTCAATCCACATTATATGTTATGTGTATGGTTGTTTATTTCGATTGACCTTGAAACGAGCATGCTCAGTTGAAACTACTAGTTGGCTTATTGATGGTATTTATAATGATGATGATCATGATAATAGTGATGATGGTGATGATGATATTAATTAAAGCAGCTTAACTCTGTCACCTAAACTGTGAAGATCCTTAGTCTGATCCCTGATTTCAATTCCGTCGCTGCCCTTTCCTTGTGTTTCAGCTAGAGGGCTGAAATACAAATATATAAATATTGCACCATCAAAAAACCTCAAAAAATATGATTATGCATTTGGTCCCATATGCAACATGGCCCATGTGAATGGTAAAGACTGTAGTACACTCAAGGGAAAAAGTAGGGATTAGAGAGCCACTTAATCATTTTTTTCTGTTAAGCTTTTTGGCAAACCGAAGATGGCATTATCCGCCACTTTATGTTCAAGTCATTTGATGAATTTGGAAAAAGCGCAGGGGTTTGTCTCTTGTCTTAGGGGGCCAGTTTTATACCAGAAGGACTGCACTAAAAATGCCAATGCAGTCTTTACACTTCGTTCCTCCATGTGTTTCGCACCGAAGAATGGTATTGATGGTCTTAATAGTTATATAGTAAGGAATTATAAGCTGTAATAATGCACTTCGAATAAGCAACATGGTACAAGCATACCGGTAATTATATTCTTTTACATATATTCAACCTCAGTAGTAACGGCGGTCAAGTAGAAATTTTGTAAATGGTATTGATTGTGATAATTGTAGAGTATAAACTGCAATAGTGTACTTATTATAAGAAACATTGTACAAGCAAAATTATTTTCATTCACACATATTCAACCTCATTTACAATTATTTCTCATTAATTTACAATTTCAAAAGGCTAAAGAGTATTTAAAAATTGTGAATTATGTTTGATAAATGCATCGTGAGCAACCAATAACTTGCACTGCCCTTAATTCCAAATGAAAAGTGACAGAAAGGAGTTCTCAATATATAGGTGGCATATTTGATAAATCTCAGCAGCAGTTTGCACAAGTTATTGAAAATTCCTTTGCGCCTTTTAAGTCTCGTAGCCGCTGTTAAGTTACCGTTGCAACATATAGTTCATTTTACTGCCTGTGAGCATGGCAGTGCCTGCTGGTTTACGATCTGTCTGGCTTCTTTGTTCGGCTTAAACTGAAATCATAAAAGCATGATAGTAATTCTGTTTGTTATTCTGTATTTACAGTTTGAGGAAGAATGCAAGAGGCTAAGTGAGGCTTTGAAGCAGCAACAGAGCCTCTTTGAAGCGTCTGTCGACGAGAAAAACAATCTAAAGCAAACGGTCGCAAAACTTGAAAAGGAAGTAAAGGTGAGGAAACTACATTATATTATACTAATCCAGCTTAGTGCTTAGGCTATATTTATGTAAGAATATAATGAATATGTATGAGGTGAATCACTACTTAATAAATATTCATAATACTGATGTTTATATAATTTCTGCATTTCAATATATGTTCTGTACTTTTTTTATTATTATTTTATTATAGATTATATACTTACTTGTACAGTTTAGAGAAATAAAATGATGAATGTGTTACCTATATATTTTTGACAAATTACGTACTAATAATAGGCAGGAATTACCTGGTATATTCTGTTAATGTGCATTGTAAATGTAGATTTTGGTAAATTAAATGAAAATTAATATCCATAAATCAACTATATGAGTATTCATTAGTGGGTAAAGACTACATTATAATACAAGGGTTGTAATTAAAGGTTTTTTTCTTTTTGTTCATGAATGTCATCGACTTTGTATTATAGTAGGCTTACATTTTGACAAGTATAGTTTTAGAGCAGATGACGTTTGTGGAAGTGCCGGCCTTATATTCACGATGCTGGGGCTTATATCCTCTGTATATTAATCCATTCCGTTTGTCATGCTTTACTACACAGTTGGTGTGTATATGCTGACATTATGGTGCAGATTTTGTTAATGTTTCACATAAAACTATTGTGCCTGAAAATATTTAAGTAAATTTAAGTCAATTATATGATTGTGACTTCATTTAACCACTATGTGAAAGAAAAAATATTCAACGAATTAAAATTATATTAATAGTAATTAGAAGTAAACAAATAATAACAATGCTAATTTTATTACATCACTATTTTAGTTTATATATTTGTAATGAATTTATGGTTTCATCTCCCATTTTGGTAATTGAGTTGCTCAGTGAAGTATCATCACGATGAGCGGAGTTGTATTTGCAGAGCGTTTTAACTATTCTCTAATCTTATCGTACACCTTTGATGTCCATCTTTCGACACATTAACAGTCTTTTATCTCACCGTATATGACGTGATTGTGATAAGACTATCCTGTCTAGCGACCCTTACTTAGCGTTTATTCACGAAAATGCAATGGGATAACGATCAAATTCACTTTTGTTAATCTTCAACAGCACTTAACTAATTTGTGAAATTCAATGAAACTCGTTATAAAATTAGAACAGATTAGTTGGATTTCACCCAAGGATGAGTTTGAAGCGCCCTCATCAGATTCTGGAAATTCATTCTAAAATGAAGCTTTTTTAATAAAAAATAGTACTATAACCTCTTCTTCATTCACTGTTTTAGCAGATGACATAGTGATTTTGATTCCCAACCTCAGTCTTTGAGATTGGGGTTCGAGCTGCTTGCTATGCATTTTCAGTGTGTCCTTGGGCAATGCACTTTACCTACAGTTGTCTCTGTCTTCCCAGGAGTGTCAGTGGGTACCTGGTAGGTTCAAACACCAGTGTGCTGATAACTAGCTATAACATTATGGAATACTCCCCATACATTAACAATGCGAAGCGCATTCAGGGATTTATATGATGTGCTATAACTAACATATTATTATTAGTATTTTCCATTTAAACCATATTTAACATTTTTGACATGAATTTTTAACAGCACTGAAAATTAGGTCCTACAATATATAATAATAATAATAATAATAATAATAATAATCTATCAGATCCATTTTGTCTGATTATTTATATTCTAACACTTGTTAAGTACTGTAATCTGAGGCTGTTCTTACACTATGTCAACATATTTCAAATGGTCGTTGTAGTCTC